AAATATATTATTATATATTTATTATTTACTATTTTATTAATTATATATTTTATGTTTACTTGGTAGGCTGTTACTAAAAAAGTAGGAAACGATTAGGACTTTTAAAAGCACCACGTAAAACAGTATCCATGGCAATGACATTAGCATTAGCACCATCAGAAATGTTTGCAGAAGGCTTAAACCTCATGCAGACAATTGCGGATGAAGAATCTGATAATTACCCTAATATATTGCTCTTTATGAAATATATGAGAAACACATGGCTTCCAATATCGAAAAAAACAAGTGTATATGGATGCCCAATTAGAACCAATAATTTTGTAGAATCATTTCATAATATCATGGCGCAAAAGATGCAAACAGTTCATCCGAATCTTTGGATATTTTTAGGTACTTTCTCTTAGTTTTATTTTAATATATAATATAAATACAATATATACAATGTATTTTAATATAATATACAGTATATTAAATTTTAAAATGTTTATATTTTTAATTAAAATATTACATTTTTATAGATAATATTTCTAAATTAATAACAGATCAAGAAATCAACTACAATCGTTTATTGAACGGTCTACAAATAACAAGAAATCGTTGTCGATTCAATAAATATAAAAATACAAGGATACAAGAAGCACAAAATTTGTTGTGTGTCGAAAGACTACAACGAGATATTTTAATTTAGCAACGCTATTGTTTAAAGAATTAGCAAATAAAACTTTCAATTCGAAACACGTTCTTAGAAAGACGAATAAGGTATTTAAAATTAACAAAGATATTGACCAATGCTATTCTTTAAACAAGTAATTAAACGCTGAGGCGTTAACCGTATGAGGAAACGATCGGCGGATTGCCTCACAAACAAGCGAAGCAGATCAGCATTCAAGGAAAAGCAGACGTTGCTAACCTAGATACTGATCTGTATAAAAGAAGGTGACTCGATTGTCACCACGGGTTTTTTAAGTTTGATCTAAGCACGAGCTGCACGTCGGTATCGCGAACTCCGAGTTTGTATCTTACGCGATCGTAACGACTGTGAGGAAGCCGTTAAATAAAGTGTACGCGAGTGCTAAGTGAATAAAGATATTTTATT